GATTCCTTAGATTCTTCTTCTTGTAAGAAAGATATTTGGTTTAAGAATTTGAAGTGGAAGTTTGGAAAAGGGAATTCCCTTTTCTTTTTGTCCTTCAAATGAAGTTCTAGTAAAATACGAATCTTGTCAAGGTTTCAACGCGACCACACTTATTTTAGCGACACGCATCTTTACACATCTTTTTAGTTTACTTCCACAGTTTAATAGTGATGAATTCGCATAAAAGCTTAGTGTTTTGCAGGTGCTAAATAATACATTGTTGTTAAAACTCAGTTTAGAACCGTGAAGAAAATCATAAAAAAAGAATTTATAGTTTCTTTAAAAAGCATTGCGCAAGATTTTCTGCTTTGTAAAATAGCGTTTTTGCATGGATTTTTCAAAGCTACGATCTTGTGACTGAACACTCCATTTGTAAATTCGCATAATGTATCAATCAAAACTTGTGGTACTAATTAATTAGTTGGGGTTAAACACTGCTTACTTTAATTATTAAAATGGTTTCTTTGAACTCAAAAAAAAAAAAACTTGCAGATAGTTTTTTTAGAAACTCCTCATAGGGAATAACTGGGGTGGAATAAGCATTGGATGAGAAGCGAAGCAGTTTTTGAATTTTCCAAACGCCTTGAAGCTTATTGCAGTTTACAATGAAGATGCTTTCTGATGTTTCGGTTCAGGGTTTTTTGGAGTTTTATGAGACAAATTTGCCATAATTTCAGTTTCTGGGTTGGGGGACATTATTTCCTATTCGCAAATGGTCAGGTTTTTACTTCTAAGACCACTTGATGCTACTACTGGACATGTTAATTTTTATCTTTTATTAGCTCTAAAAAAAGTTGGGTCGATAAAAGGGGTAAAAGTAAACTTATTATGTCCGGTGAATCAGCTGTTTTTTATAAATGATGTAAAAAAGTTTGGAAGACGCGATAGGAAAGTCTGAAAAGCTTGTAATTAAAACTTTGTGAAAGGTTCTCTTTTAAGATCATACCAAGTAGGTTTTGGGCAGTCACTGACATTGGAACAAAACTAAAAACTATCTATAATTAAAAGTTGGTTGGCAGATATAACTGGCTTTCATTTTTAGTCCTCGTTGTTGGCGTTACACGCTAGACTGTCTTCGGTGTTATCCTTGGCCGACTTTTTGGATGGCTCGGAACTGCAC